ATATTATTAAATCTATATTAAATTACTTTAAATTAAATTATAATAAAAATTTGAATTAAATAAATTACACAAAACAATAACTTTTATATAGTTAATTTAATACTAATATCTATATTTTTTTTTCAAAACTTTATGATATATTAAAATATATATTTTATTCAAAAAGAAAAACATTATCGCTTTCTCAAAACCACATAGAACCGTATTATATCGACATAAATATATAATAAAACGAGACATTGAAATTGAGATATATCTCGATACATTGGACGTGCACCTTTTTAGTATTATATAATACGGTTTTATGTGGTTTTGAGAAAAAGATAATGTTTTTATTTTTGAATAAAATATAAATTATAAATATCATAAAATTTTAAAAAGAGTATATAATGTTAATATCAAATTAACTATTTAAAAGTTCTTGTTTTGTGTAATTTATTTAATTCAAGTTTTTTATTATAATATAATTTTACGTAACGAAGTAATTTAATTTAGGTTTAATAATATAATTTTTTATAATAATAATAATTAAGTATTTTGTTAGAACTTAATGATTATCCTAATTTTATTTTAAATATTTTATATTTATTCTGTATTTGATTATGTTTATTCGTAGTTAGTTACACGAATTCATACATGAAGCTTTAATAAGTTGTACTTATGCATAATTTACCTGTAATCTTGAATTTTAAGTAATATGCATCAATAAACATACTTTGTGTATAAAAAATGGTTTTTAAGAGTTTTTTTCGAATGCTTTATAATATAGTATTTATAATATAGTATAGATAGAAGGGTACTCGCGTAATACAACAATGTACATCTTGATTTTAATGTTTGTTTTATTATTTGTCTCCATCGATGTTATAATACGGTTTTATGTTATTTAAAAAAAACGATAATGTTTTTATTTTTGAATAAAATATACATTTTAAGATATCATAAAAATTTGAAAAAAAATATATTGAAATTAGTATCAAATTAACTATTTAAAAGTTCTCGTTCTTTTGTGTAATTTATCTTTATTATAATTTAATTTAATGTTAATAACGAAGTAATTTATTTTTTATTGTTAATTATATTTTATAAAGATAATAATTAAGTATTCTGTTAAAAATTAATAATTATCCTTGTTATATTTTAGATTTTTTATATTTAAAATGAAATGTTTGTTCTTTATTTGATTATGTTTATTTGCAGTTAGTTACAAAAATTCAAACATAAAGCTTTAATAAGTTGTACTTACGTATAATTACTTGTAATATTGAATTTTAAGTAATGTGCATCAATAAACAATATTTCATGTATAAAAATAGTTTTTAAGAGTTCTTTATCTATATCGATATGATACGGTTTTATGTGGTTTTGAGAAAACGATAACCTTTTTTTATTTTTGAATAAAATATAAATTATAAATATCATAAAATTTTAAAAAGAGTATATAATATTAGTATCAAA